GCCTCGCCGCGCCTCGCCTCGCCGCCCGGCTCCAGCCGCTGCTCGCTGCGCGGAGGAAGGCGGCGGGCGCGCCCGGGGAGGCGGCGATGCTCCCGCGCGCCCCGCCGCTCCGCCTCCCGCGCTCCCTCCCGGCCGTCCCGCGCACGCGGACCCCGGCGCACCCGCGCGCACCGCTCCCCGGGGCCGCAGCGCGTCGGAAGCGGCGCGGCTCGGGAGCAACGCGTGTCGCGCTGAAGCTCCGGCTTTTGAGGGGTGGGGGGAGCCCCCTCGCTCGACGCCCCCCATGCCTCCCCGACCACGCCCCCCGGCTCGCCGCGCCCCGCTGTCTGCGGACGCGCCCGGTTTGTGTTTGCAGGAAAGGAGCGGCAAGGGCTAACTGAGCATGTACAGAACGCTTTTCTGCGGATCCATTCGATTTGTATCCTACCCGTTCCGCGCGACTGTCTCCCTGCGCTCTCAGGCGGGCTGCCTCAGTTCGTGGACGAAATCCACCTTCCTTCCCCTGGAGTCTCGGGGCAGAAAAACAAGCCTCTTCTGCCCGATGGAAGGCGAATGCATGCGGGCGTGTAGCTGCAGTCGGGCCCTGCTTCACCCTTCGCCTCTGTCGTCTCAGCAACCTTGTGGCGTAGGCCGTGCTGTGAGGCCGTGCTCAGCCAAGCGCTGCCTGCTTTCTGACCTGCTCTTTCTTAAGTCAGGCTTCGCCTTTAACCTCCATGGGCACAGCATCAAGTTAGGCATTTGTCTATTGGTTCTATTTATCTCCTACCTTTTCTTTTGCAGGAATGCAAAGCATAATCCTGCTTATCCTCACAACAACCCTATGAGGTAGACTAGGTCAAGCAGCAGGGACTGGCCCAAAGTCACCCAGTGAGCTTGAGTGAAGACTAGAACCCGAGGCTCCCAAGTCCCAGTCAAGCACACAACTGCCACGCCACATTTGGATAATAAAAGTTTTTGCATGAATCTGAAATTCATTAAGGGTACAATCCCAAGCAAGGTTAGGAAGGGGGGAAAGGCCTGCAATTCCCAGCATGCCCCAGCCAGCCTTGCTGGAGCATACTGGAGCCGTAGGCCTTTGATCTGTCTAAATGTGCGTAGGAACACATCTTAGGTAACTTTGGGCCCATCACAGCCTAGCCTACCTTACAGGGTCGTTGTGGGCATAAAAAGCAGCTGGAGGCCAGGACACTATGCAAGCCACGTCAAGTTTCTCGGAGGAGCCGCAGCAGCAATGCGTTGCTTTATATTTGCAGCTAACATGCATCAGTGTGGAGCATTTGAAAGTGTTTCAAAACTAACATTCAATAGTATTTGATACTTCAGCAGCTTAGATTACTTCATATTTAATTCCAATCTAAACAAAGAAAATCAAGTTGAGATGCTAATACATTTAACATCTGAATTTTCTTTTAATATGCCACACTCAGAATTTAAAATGTGCATTCAAAATAGAGAGTTATTATTTTTTCCCCTTTTTGTGAACTTTTCATCTCAGTCCTAATTCTAGCTAGAATGGACTGGCAGGGACATAAGCATCAAGTAATCCATTATTTTAGGAATGTACCGAGTGCAGATTGGAAGATAGGCAGCTTCTGAAAGCATGATGCTTTCTTCGTCATTATTGGAGACAGAAGGGCCTTAGCAACACTGACAGACTGTTTTCTGGAAGATTTTGAATTTTTTTCTGAAACCTGGCATTTGCAAGTAGGTTTATTTATAGACCCTGTGTTACTGGAGTCTTGCGTTTCACTTCAGTGTTTTCCTCTTGGTTTTTATCCCTTCCCTCCCACGAGCGACACAGGAATTTTGCAAACTAAATTGTTTGTCATAATTTTCTAAACAAAAATGCATCTCTAGGCAAGTTATTAGCCGCTCTGTGGAAGGAAAAAAAGGCCACATTTGGGGCTGTTTTGTTGGGGGAGAAGGCTAAGGGGGGGGGGTTGAGTGGGGAGATGATTCGAGGTTGATAAAATTGTGGAAGCTGTAAAGAAAGTGGATGAGGAAATGCTTTCTCCCTCTCTCCACAAGCCAAAGGGGGGACCCCAGGAAGCTCAACTGGGACAGAGCAAAGGAGGGACCTTTTCAAGGGCGCATAGTTAAACGAGCACATTCCCTTCCACAGATGCAGCGATGGCCCCCCGTTGGATGGCGTCGAAAGCAGATGAGGCTGGTTCATGGAGGAGGAGGGGTTGGGGGCAACCCAGCACGGGCTTGGACAGAAAATACGGCAAGTGTGCAGGCAGCCCGCCCGCCAAGGGGGCGCTGAGCCCGCGCGATCGGCGGTCGCCTTCCTGCTAGGGCCAAGAAGCCCAAAGCTACTGCGCCCACTTAAAGGACTTGCTTGTGTCAGATCTCCTGAAAGCATGCCGAGTGTGACGATGTGACCTTGTAGGCTGGGGAGGATGGGCACTGTAGCTGAACCCTCCAGAGGGAGCCAGGTTGGAAAGGCATCCCTGTCCTGTCCAGATGTTATGTGCAGTTGGACGATGGTCCTTGGATCCCAATACTCGCGCTCTTGGGCAAAGATGCGCAGGAAACTAAATCTAGTGCCTACCAGGGAGCTGGTGGGACGGAAGAGGGTTGGGGATGACTTTTAAGCCTGGGACCCAAATGGCCAAAGGCCCCTGTCCTCCCACAGAGAGCTGCTTGAGGTTGTCTGCCGCTGTCCTGCTCCAGGGGTCCCTGCCAAGGAAGCTGAGCGGGTGGCTGCAAGAAAGAGCCTTCCTAGGGGTGGTACCCCACTGGGGGAATAAGGTCCCCAGGAGGCTCACCAGGTACCTACATCCTTTTCTTTTCTTTTTCCCTGGGCATTTTAGAAATTACTTCTAGAATTTTCTTTTTTTTTTAAACTCAGTGTTGTTATTATTTTCTACTAACTAACAAAAAAAAAAAAAAGAAACTAAAATCATCAGTCATCAGAAACATCAGACCTACTGGCTCAGACCCCCGTATTTTTTTATGGTAATCCATACATATTTAAGTCTGTGCATAGTCCCATTTCTCTAGCCAATAATAAAAAGAATTCCAAGTTTGATAGAAGTATGTATCTTCTTTCTCCTTCAGAGACAAAGTCAGTCTGTCCATTTCCACACAGTCCAAGATCTTTTTTAAAATCAGTTCGTCGGTAGGTGGTTCTTCATTCCTCCAATGCTGGGCAAATGCAATCCTCGCCACAGTAATTACATGTAGAATCAAATACATTGCTCGATTATCAACATCATCAGGTACGATGCCTAATAAGAAAACTTCAGGTTTAAATATTAGAGGTTTTTGTAACATTCCCTCAAACCATTCGAATTTTCTGATAGTTCCATCAATAGCTTTGCATTGCATTGCATTATTTTAAATATTTGTAATGTATATTTTAACCGTTACCTGGGATTTTAGTTGTTTAACTATTTGCAATCTGCCCAGGGAGCCTTGGTTATGGGGCAGATTAGAAATATAGTAAAGCAAGAAAGGGGGCAAAAAGCCCCCCAGGAAAGGGTGGCCAGCACGTTGACTCGACCGCCTAAATGTAGCAGAATCAGATCCTACATTTGTGGTCCTCTAGACGGAGAAGCTGGAACAGACGAGTTGCGGATGGGAAAATGTTTTGAAGCTGTCTTCCCGTCCTTTCCCAGTCATTCTGTAGATAAGAGCTGCTTTTGCTGCGAGAACAAAACTGTTTATGTTACCAAGTGCACACCTTTTGATTGTGCGTATCACGCATCCATATTTTATCATCATATTCGACAGAGGTGGGTTTTTCAATAGGCGCAAATATGTCGTGAGGTGGATTGGCCAGACCTGGCCCTACAGTTCAAAATAGACCATCATGCTTGGGGGGGGGGGACACAAATCCCCCCCTGTGTAGACAGTGCCAAGCTAAACAGCTGGTTGGTGTGACTCGGTGCCAGCAACATTCGCTCCCCAAACACTGGTTTATTCATACTCTTCTTTCTCTCTCTCTGCCCATCTCTTCGTGCCATGACAGATCCTTCCAAAGCAGACAGCTTGCTCTGTTCTGAGCCTCACAGCCAACGCCTCTGTCTTCATTCTCTCAATATATTTTCAAGAGACTGAAGCCACCAAGTCCTAACGGAATGCAGCCCTGGGGGAAAAAAGGAAAATCAAAGACGATTAAATGGTGGGAGAGCTAAGGGGGTGGGGGAAATGAATGGAAGAGAAAGCTATTAGTGGCCACCAGTTGCAAAGGGACACAGGAGGAGAAACCTGTTCCCCCAGACCCCTTCACAGAAGCATCATTCTGGGGAGAAGCCTGAACCAGGTGCCCCGGGTTCCATCGGCAGCATCTGCAGAAGGGACCCTGCCTGAACTCCTGGAGGGGCCGCCAGGGTGCGGCTGCGGCTGCGTGAGTCCCAAACGATTCAAGAAAAAAA